CGCCGCGAGTGGCGCCGCGAGGTGACGACTTCAGTTCCCAGCGGCGGTTCCCACGATTCTGGAGAGTTTTGTCTGAACTGGCCACTAGTTTGGCGACATTATTGCAGACGCCGTGGAGCTCAGGCTGTGTCCCGAGGCGAGAACGCGTGTTTGTGATGACCAGCGGCCACCGATCCCAATGGCCACCGATTCTGATCCGGCCGCAACACGCATCCGCTCTCCCCGGGATGCGTTCGTGACCTTCTGCCCATTCATTCGGATGCACCGAGTCAGAAGCCTCAGCGGATTCTGTGTGGTCAGTCGGGAGCAGAATAAAACGCGGGGGGACAGCTGTTAGTATAGGAAATAGGAATGACGCTCTGTTAGCCGCGACTGTTTCTGTCCCGATCAAAGGCACATCCTACCCCGGCGGGGAGCTGCAGGCGGACCTGGGAGCTCACCTGGGCGCGGGCCCGTCCCCTCCATCCGGAGCTGCCTGTTCTCACGGGCAGACTGACAACCCAGCTGCAGAAACCAGAGGCGCCAGCCCTTTGCCAACCCCCAGCAGGCGTTGCCTGTGAACTGTCACCATTACACCCATTACACCCATTTTGCATTCCCCTTCTTTATATATATACATATATATATATGTATATATATGTATATATGTGTATATATATATATATATATATATATATATGTTTTATTGATTTTTTACAGAGAGGAAGGGAGAGGGATAGAGAGGTAGGAACATGGATGAGAGAGAAACATCGACCAGCTGCCTCCTGCACACCCCCTACTGGGGATGTGCCTGCAGCCAAGGTACATGCCCTTGACCTGAATCGAACCTGGGACCTTTCAGTCTGCAGGCTGACGCTGTATCCACTGAGCCACACCAGTCAGGGCTACATGCCCCTTCTTATTCCTTTCGCCCACTTCCCCGTGTAACCTTTGTCCTTCTGCCCAATATAAGCAGCTGGCTTATGGAGGGGTGGGGGGCGGAGAGCAGGTGTTTGTGGGTGACCTGCTGTTCTCCCATACTGGCCGGCATTACTGGCATAAACGCTCATATTGTAACCGGACCACCAAGGGGCCCGGGCTGCCGGTCACTACTTCGGCCACGTCAGCAGAGACGGGGTTGAGTCCTATATGAGCCCTTACTCCAATCCCGTCGGCAGGATGGGGGAACAGCACGTCACCCACAAACATCTGCTCTGCACCCCACCACAAGCCAGCTGCTTACATTGGGTGGAAGGACATGATCACATGGGGAAGTAGGAATTACAGGCCTGGGAAAGTGGGCACCGGATAATCATCACAGGTTACAAGGGATGCGGACTGAGGGTGCAGCGGGCAGGGGGGGGAGGGGGGGAGTTAGAGAGAGTGCTTACAGGTAATAGGGGCTACGGGTTGTAAAGAGCAGGTGCCTCCAGGACCGGGACCCCGAGGCTGTCCATCTTTCCACGGTGACAGGCAGTTCTGGGAAGGAGGACAGACTGCCTTCCGATGTGAGCGAGCTCCCAGGTCCCAGGGCGGACGGCTCCCAGCTGGGTCAGCATGTGCTCTCTCTCCTCCAGACGGAACCATCATGGTTCACAGAGCAGGATCCCTCTTTCCTATCCTTGTAGGTGGTCCCCAACGTATTCAATTTCTGCCCCTCGCAGTATACGACGATTCAACCTTGTCTCTGCTGAATTGGCTCAAGGGGTGGGAGGCAGCCCGGACCCACTGGTTGTCTGGCCGAAAAGATGTAGTCTGCCTTTAGGTGGGAGGACAGGAAGCAATCTTTGCCTCCGGTTCCCATAAAAGCCTCTCTCCGGCCCTGACCGGTGTGGCTCAGTGGATAGAGCATCGGCCTGCGGACTGAAGGGTCCCAGGTTCGATTCCAGTCAAGGGCATGGACCTTGGTTGCGGGCACATCCCCAGTGGGGGGTGTATAGGAGGCAGCTGATTGATGTTGCTCTCTCATTGATGTTTCTAGCTCTCTATCCCTCTCCCTTCCTCTCTGTAAAAAAATCAATAAAATATATGTATTTTTAAAAATCACACTGGCCCTGGCTGGTGTGTCTCAGGGGATTGAGCGTCAGCCTGCAGACTGAAAGGTCCCAAGTTTGATTCCAGTAAGGGCACTTGCCCGGGTTGCAGGGTCCATCCCCAGTAGTGGGTGTGCCGGAGGCAGCCGATCCATGATTCTATCATCATTGATGTTTCTCTTTCTCTCCCTCTCCCTTCCTCTCTGAAATCAATTTTTTTAAAAAAGCAGACATTCCCTCCAATGGCAGCCCAGGCTCTCTCCCCCCGCGGGAAGTGGGCACAGTGAGCAGGCCTGCCTCGGGGGCTGTGGGAAGAGGGAGGGGCTGCTCTGGGAGTCCCGGTCTTTCTGGAGGAAGGGAATGGCTGATGGGGAGGCAGTGCATTGGGGAGCTGTCCCTGGGTGAGGGAGTGGGGATATCTGTACCTAAGGGCTCTTCCTGGGGTAGGCAGGTTCATGGGGCTCCCCGCTGTCTCTTCCTGAAGCAATGCGCCCCCCACCCCCCCAAAGAGAGACAACCTGGCCTGAGCCACCCATGCACCATGTTGGTGCCCAAGGGAAGGGGCAGCCACACCTCACAGGCCCTTGGACCTTCCGATGGGTTTTTCCAGCTGCTACCCTCCCGGTGATTTCTAAGTGATCAGGCTAGATCAAATTACTTCTTTGTTGCCGAAACCGGTTTGGCTCGGTGGATAGAGCGTCGGCTTGCGGACTGAAGGGTCCCAGGTTCGATTCCGGTCAAGGGCATGTAACTGGGTTGCGGGCACATCCCCAGTAGGAGATGTGCAGGAGGCAGCTGATCGATGTCTCTCTCATCGATGTTTCTAGCTCTCTATCTCTCTCCCTTCCTCTCTGTAAAAAATCAATAAAATATATATTAAAAAAAAAAAATTACTTCTTTGTTGTAAAGCTATAGCTCTTAGTCACTTAAAAAGTGATTTTCGTTGCCCTAGCTGGAATGGCTCAGTGGATAGAGCATTGGCCTGTGGACTGGAGTCCTGGGTTCGATTCCAGTTAAGGGCACATGCCCGAGTTGTAGGCTCGATCCCCCGTAGGGGGTGTGCAGGAGGCAGCCAATCAATGATTCTCTCTCATCATTGATATTTCTCTCTCCCTCTCTGAAATCAATAAAAAGATATATTTTTTTAAAATATATTTTATTGATTTTTTTACAGAGAGGAAGGGAGAGGGATAGAGAGTTAGAAACATTGATGAGAGAGTAACATCGATCAGCCGCTTCCTGCACATTCACCACTGGGGATGTGCCCCCAACCAAGGTACATGCCCTTGACCGGGATCGAACCTGGGACCCTTGAGTCCGCAGGCCGACGCTCTATCCACTGAGCCATACCAGTCAGGGCAAGATATTTTTGTTTTATTTTTTTATTTGTTTTTTTACAAACCCTTGTGTCGAGGGCTGACTTTCAATAGATCGCAGCGAGGGAGCTGCTCTGCTACGTACGAAACCCCGAGGGATATTTTTTTTTAAGTGATTTTGTTGCCTGGGCTGGCGTGGCTCCGTTGGTTGGGCATCATCCATGCACCAAGAGGTACCAGTTAGATTCCTGGCCAGGGTACATCCCTGGGTTTCGGAGTGGGTCCCCAGTGTGCGTCATGCAGGAGGCAGCCGATCAATGTTTCTCTCTCCCTAAAATCAATAAAAACATATATGAAAAACGATCAATGATTCTATTGATCATTGTTTCCAAGCTGAGGTCACCTCAATATTTTACATGAAGTGGTTCATCATTTAATAACTAATTCTGTCAGGTGTTACCTCTGACTTAAAACCACACCCTGTCTTTTATCACACTCAATCTGCAGAAAAAGTTGAAAACACCACCATGGCATTGTTAAATGAAAATCAGTTCATCTTTCAGAAGCCTTTGAGCTTCCTTGGCCACTAGCCCTTACGGCCATATAGTCCTCTCGCTCAGGGACACCTGGAGTTATTCCTCCTTTGAACTACAAACAGGAAGGTGTCCAGAAATTTCACCTCCGATGCCAAACTGCCAAAAGCAACCAACCAATGTGTCTCTCTCTCTCTCTCTTCCTATCCCTTCCTCTCTGAAATCAATAAAAATATATATTTAAAAAAATACACAAGAAATACCGAACCAACTATGTAAAACATTAAACCTTTAATAAGCCATTTTCCAGTGAGCACAGAGGTGAGTGGTACACGCAGGTCGACTTAAACACACACCATCTAATAGAAGCCACACAACGCCTGTCGGTTGGGTTGGGTCCATTCTCTAGTCAGAGTCAGAGGAATGAGGATGCTGCCAAAGGCTCAGAGTATTACAACTTCCTCAAGCAGAAGGAACATGGTGCCTGGCCGGTGTGGCTCAGTGGATAGAGCATTGGCCTGTGGACTGAAGGGTCCCGGGTTCAATCCCAGTCAAGGGCACAGGCCCGGGTTGCAGGCTCTATCGCCTGCAGGGGGCGTGCAGGAGGCAGCCGATCCAAGATTCTGTCTCATCACTGATGTTTCTAGCTCCCTCCCCTTCCTCTTTGAAATCAATAAAAATATATTTAAAAAAAAAAAAAAAAGGTGATAGAGGTAATCCTCCCCGTACTTTAGCCACAAAAATGGACATCAGTCCGGTATTAGCCCTGGGCAGCTTAGAAAATGCAATGCAGCTCATTGGAGGTGCACTGGCGCCCGGCCAGCGTCTCGGTGGGTAAGCGCTGACCTGTGCACGAGGTCAGGGCACAGGCCCAGGTGGCTGCATGGATCCCCGGAGGGTGGAAGGGGGGCGTCCAGGAGGGAGCCGATCAATGTTGATGTTTCTCTCTTCAATGTTCCTCTCTCTCTCCTTTCCTGTCTCTAAAATCAATAAAAAACATTTAAAAAAAAAAAAAAAGATGCACTTGTGTCCTGGCCAGTTTGGCTCAGTGGACAGAGTGTCCGCCTGCGTATTGAAGGGTCCCGGGTTCGATTACGGTCAAGGGCACATGCCTGGGCTGTGGGCTCGGTCCCCCGCAGGGGGGGTGCAGGAGGCAGCCGATCAATGATTCTCTCATCATTGACGTTTCTCTCTCTCTCTCCCTCTCTGAAATGAATAAAAATATATTTTTTTAAAAAAAGATGCACTTGTACCTGAAACTGTTGAGAGATCTAGCACAGTGTATGTTCCACTAAAAAATGTTTAAATTCAGATGAAGAGTTCTCAAAGAGTCTCCTCCAGTGCTGCTACACTGAGTGAGGAAATAAACCATCCTCTGCACATTGAAGGACGTTCTCCACTCCGAACTCTCTGGTGTTTAAAGAGGTGGGATTTGCAGCAGAAATATCTCCCACACACACTACACTCATAAGGTCTCTTCTCCCGTGTGAACTCCCTGGTGTTGAGGGAAGCCAGACCTCTCGCTAAAACATTTTCCACATCTGCCACACTCATAGAGTTTTTTGCCAAATGAACTTAGTGGTGTCAAACAAGGCAGGGGTGTTGTCTAAATAATTTCTTACGTTCACCACCTTCATGGGGCCTTTCTCCAGGATGAATTCTCTGGTGAACAGGGAGGCTGGATCTCCACCTAAAACCTTTCCCACAAACACTGCACGCGTGTGGCTGTTGTGAGTGTGTACTCTCCGGTGTTCAATGAGCCTAGTGCTTCGGATGGACTTCTCACAGTATCTACACTCAAGGCTTTTCTCTAGTGTGAACTCTCGGGTGTCTAATGAGGCGACACTTGTAGCTAAAAGATTTCCCACATTCACGACACTGATAAGGCCTTTCTGTTGAGTGCACACACAGGTGTGGAAGGAAGCTGGAGGTATTGCTGAAAGGTTTCCCACGTTTGCCACACTCATAAGGCTTTTCTTCAGAATGAACGCGAAGGTGCTGAATAAGGTGGGAGTGTTGCCGGAACGATTTTCTACATGTACTACACTCATACGGCTTTTCTCCGGTGTGAATTCTCTGGTGATTAATGAGGACACGTTTGATACTAAAACATTTCCCACAATCACTGCACTCATACGGCTTTTCTCCAGTGTGAACTCTCTGGTGTTGAGTGAGGGCAGAGTGTTGGTGGAAGGACTTCCCACAGTCACTGCACTCGTAAGGCTTTTCTCCAGTGTGAACTCTCTGGTGGTTAATGAGGATACATTTGTAGGTAAAGCATCTCCCACAATCCCTACACTCATATGGCTTTTCACCAGTGTGGATTTTCTGGTGTGTAAAAAGGGCAGAGCTTTGGCTAAATGACTTCCCACAATCACTACACTCGTAAGGCTTTTCTCCAGTGTGAACTCTCTGGTGGATGCGGAGGTAGCATTTGAAGCGAAAAGATTTCCCACATTCGCCACACTCAAAAGTGCTTTTTCCAGAATGAAGTCTTTGGTGTTGACTAAGGTTCGTGCGCTGTCTAAGGCATTTCCCACGAACACTGCACTCACACGGTTCTTCTTCAGTGTGACCGCTCTGGTGTTCGGTGAGGTCAGAGTTTCCGCTGAAGGGCTTCTCATAACCCCTACACTCAAGAGCCTTTTCTTCGGTGTGAACGCCTCTGTGTTGGATAAGGTTAAAGATGTGTCTAAAGGCTTTTCGACACTTGCTGCACTCAGAAAGCCCTTTTCCAGAACAGACACTTTGCCGTGGAACAAGGTTCTGGTTTGGGCTGGCAGCTTTTTCACATCCTCCTGAACGGAGACGATTTTCTCCGCTGGGAAAGGCCTGCCCGCTCTCACCGCCATCGTGCGGCTCCTCGGGATCACCAGGGGCCTGGTGCTGAAGGCCTGAGGTGGCTGGGAAGCCCTCCCCAACCTTCCCACAGGCGGAAGGTGCCCCTGAGACGCAGAAGCTGCACCTGGTCCCAGGCGAGGCCCCGTCCACAGCTCCTTCCCAGGGCTTCTCAGCACTGGCTTCCCTCTGCTGCTGGTGAGGGTTTGAGGGGAAACAGAGTTCTCTCACACATGCGTCACCGGAGAAGGCTCTCTGCTCAAGGTCTGCGGCTTGGCACTCAGTCAGGTGCAGAACAGCTTTCAAGGGCGGGACACACCGCTCACAGGGGTGGGTCCTCTGGGCGGCCGGCGTCTCAGACGCCCTGACCGGTGACTCTCCTTCTACAGGCACGCTCTGCTCACAAGGGGTCTCGTCATCTTCCGTCTTATGCCAGCAACCTGAAAGCAGACAATTGCTGAGGAGATGGGTGTGGACTTTGGTCTGAGGGGCAAGTCCCACTGCAAGAGGTTAGACATAATACGCTGGTTCCATGGGATTGTCTACAAGTAAGGTCCTTGCCCGAGCTGCATGGCTCCCTGGTTGAGCATCGACCTATGAGCCAGGAACAGTTCAATTCCTGGTCAGGGCACATGCCTGGGTTGTGGGCTCAGTCCCCAGAGTGGGGCGTGCAGGAGGCAGCCCATCAGTGATTCTCTCATTGATGTTTCTTTCTCTTTCTCTCTCTCTCTCTCTCTCTCTACCTCTCCCTTCCTCTCTGAAATCAATAAAAACAAATTTAAAAAAATAATAATAAGGGGCCTAGAAACAGGTTGAAAAAGAGGCTACTGTGCAGCACTGGTCCTCTGAAGATCACAGAATTGGGTAGACCCCACTGGGAAAGGAATACCGAGATGGCCTGCAGCACGTGGAACAAGAGCGGGCTCTCCCACTCACTCTCCTAACAGCGTTCAGCAGAGTCTGTCTGTTGGTGACCTGGGCAAGCTGTGGAAAAGGTTGATTGTGTCCTTTCCCCAATAAAATGCAATAAATGAGTAGCTGGTATTTGAAGACAACGTAAGGATGTATGCAAACCTCCTAACACACGCCTAAGTCAAGGGTGGAGAACACAGCAGAAGGACAGGTGGCGTCAGGAGGCCGCAAACATGAAGGAAGCCCGAAGCCTGAAGTCACAGATGAAATGACCAGTCAGAAAAAGTGTCAAGTCTGGGTACGAAAAGGTAGAAATGAGGTGGGGCCAATGGAACTTGCACCAAAACGCTATTGGACATAGGAGGGGGGTGAGGTGCTGTTCTTGGTATGATCTGAACATGGCCCTTACGTCATGCGCAGCCAGGCCTCCTCTGAGACGAGCTTACATGTCAACCCTGTGAAAAACCAGGGAACTCCCTGCACCGCCACTGTACGACTACCCGGAACCCCAATGATCCAAATCTTAATGAAAGACAGCAGAGGTGAGCAGCAGCACGGGCCCAGAGCGGCTTGGCACACATGGGCATTCAGGGAACTCCTTGTTCAGGGCACGCCACCAGGCTCAGCACTGGCAGTCCCAGCACGTACAACAAGAAAGTGGATTTAGCCCTGACCAGTTTGGCTCAGTGGATAGAGCGTCGGCCTGCGGACTGAAGGGTCCCGAGTTCGATTCCGGTCAAGGGCATGTACCTTGGTTGTGGGCACATCCTCAGTGGGGGGTGTGCAGGAGGCAGCTGAATTGATGTTTCTCTCTCATCAATGTTTCTAACTCTCTATCCCTCTCTCTTTCTCTCTGTAAAAAATCAATAAAATATATTTAAAAAAAAAAAAAAGAAAGTGGGTTTAAATGCGCAGAGCCCATGGTCCAGCTGTGGGACACACACAGATACCCGTGGAATCAAAAAGAGGAGGCAGAACATCACCTCAGGACACTGGGAGAACGGGAGGGTCTTACCTACGGAGGCTACCAGCGCAAAGATCTCCAGCATCACCTCGCAGTACAGCAGTCTCTGAGCCGCATCAAGGAGCCCCCACTCCTCCTGGGAGAAGGCGATGGCCACGTCCTCCAAGTCCATATCCTGTCGTGATGGGGACACTTCAGTCCACGATCAGCTTGTCTCCTGGGCTTCCAAGTTCGTCGTATCCCCCACCCTCCATGTCCACCTGCTCCCTCGGCTCCCCGCATCACAGAAGACCCCAGGCCTTGGTACCAGCGGCGTCGCTCCCTCCTTATGGTCATCGAGTCTGTGTCTTCCCTCAACACCGACGGGCAGATGGACGATCCCTGAGCTCTGGGCCTGGCATGTCGGCCAAAATGCCTCTTGTCTTTAATACAGTGGGTGTCACAAACATTGCTTACACCAGCGGTTCTCAACCTGTGGGTCGCGACCCCTTTGGGGGTTGAACGACCCTTTCACAGGGGTCGCCTAAGACCATCGGAAAACACATATGTAATTCCATATTGTTTTGGTGATGAATCACTGTGCTTTCATTATGTTCAATGTGTAACAATGAAAATACATCCTGCATATCAGATATTTACATGACGATCCATAACAGCAGCAAAATTACAGTTATGAAGTAGCCACGAAAATAATGTTATGGTTGGGTCACCACATGAGGAACCGTATGAAAGGGTCACGGCATTAGGAAGGTTGAGAACCACTGGCTTAGAGAGAGAAGCTGGCCATAGAGACGGGGTGAGTCATGTGACACTGGTCTTGTCAGGCAGTAACCCAGTGGTCTCCCCGTCCCTCCAAGACACAAAAGACATGGCGTCACCCTTCACCTTAAAACCCCAACCCCAGGGCCCTGAGGCTGTCGGTCTGCACTGTCCTCTGCAAATAATTCTTTTTTAAATATATTTTTTTGACTTCAGAGAGGAAATGAGAGGGAGAGAGAGAGAGAAACATCAATGATGAGAGAGAATCATGAATCGGCTCCCTCCTGCACGCCCCACACTGGGGACTGAGCCCACAACCCGGGCATGTGCCCCTACCCGAAATCGAACCGTGACCTCCTGGTTCATAGGTCGATGCTTAACCACTGAGCTATGCAGCCCGGGCTGCAAATAATTCTTTAAATCACTCCTCTCTCCCACAACCACATTCCCGGAAGAACAACTTCAAAGGTAACACAAAGGGCCCATGACAAGGACAGCGTGTTTCTGGTCAGCTTGCTCCCCAGGACCCTGGTCTCACCACCTCCCTCGCTGACCCCTGCTTAGCGTCCCCCTTCCCGCGGCCGGTGGAGGTTTTCAGGCCCCGGCGACACTGACACCCACTATCTCCTCGAGGCCCTGCTGCCCAGTGCACCCGCCCTCCACAGCAGCAGGCAGGTGGGCAGATAAATGGCTCGTAAGCTCTTGAGCCTGGGAGATGGGAATCAACAGCCCCCCTTTCCAGGGAATTCTCAGCATGTCCCTATTGTTTCCTCCAGCCACTGCCAGACATGGACTCACCCTTCATTCACTCTTTTTTTTTCTTAATATATTTTTATTGATTTCAGAGAGGAAGGGAGAGGGAGAGAGAAAGATAGAAACAACAATGATGAGAGCATCATGGATCGGCTGCCTCCCGCACGGCCACTATTGGGGATGGAGCCCGCAACCAGGCATGTGCCCTTGCCCAGAATCGAACCCGGGACCCTTCCGTCGGCAGGCCGGCGCTCTATCCACTGAGCCACACCGGCCAGGGCTCATTCACTCTCATGTCAATGCCAGAGCCCCGTGGCCGTGAAGTCGCACTCCCTCCCCAAGCGCACATCGCCCTTCCGACCGCCCGCTCTCCCGCCTGCACTCCCGGCCCCGCCGCCTGCCCTGCACCCCCTGCACCCGGACATCTCCTGGGCCCTCTGCCTGTTCCTCGGCGTGTGGTCCAGGGACTACTTGGCAGGTTCACACAGGACCCAGCAGCACGCTGCCTCTGACGGCCCCCACGGACACAGGCCGCCCGGAGCGCTGCTCCGAAGGCCTCCCGGCCGGACTGCGCCTTTGCTTCAACCTCAGCCTCTGCCCTCAGCCTCCGCCCCTGGTGCTGCACTTGCACCCGTCTCCCTCTCCCCGCCTCACCCGCCCCACCCGCCCCGCGCCCCGCGAGTCACCCAGGTGGCCACTTAGGAATCCGCCAGCCAGACGGCAGCCCCTGCGGAGAAAAGCTGGTCTCGGCCAGAGGGGAAGCAGCAACTGCTCCCCAATTCCTCTGGGACCCTGAGAGGTTCCCAAAGGAACTGACCTGTGAGAACAAGTAATGCTGGCTACTCTGACCTCTTCCAAGTAATGTACCTACTGGCTTTGGAGACCAAAAGCAGCAGAGAACAGCCAGACAAGGTTCGCAGGAAAGCGCCAGTAGAGAAGGCTGTTCACCTGAAGAATAACTATGGGAGCCCTGGCTGGTGTGGCTCAGCGGATAGAGCATCGGCCTGCGGACTGAGGGGTCCCGGGTTCGATTCCGGTCAAGGGCATGTGCCTGGGTTGCGGGCACATCCCCAGTAGGAGGTGTGCAGGAGGCAGCTGGTCGATGTTTCTCTCTCATCGATGTTTCTAACTATCTCTCTCCCTTCCTCTCTGTAAAAAATCAATAAAATATATTTTAAAAAAATAAAATAAAATAAAATAATATATATAACCATATTTTTAAAAATTAAGTTAAATAAAAGAATATGGGAAACTAAAATGGGATTTTGAAAGAAAAAAACAACAGAAGCAAGCATAGGGCTACTCTGAGAACTATGACAAGGTGCTTCCCCTTCTCTTAATAGTTTAAGAAAAATTAAAATTACCATTAAAAGGGGGAAAATTACCAAGGACCTTGAAATAACGAAGCTATTTTATCTGTTCTTTTTTTTTTTTTTAATATATTTTATTGATTTTTTACAGAGAGGAAGGGAGAGAGATAGAGAATTAGAAACACCAATGAGAGAGAAACATTGATCAGCTGCCTCCTGCACATCTCCCACTGGGGATGTGCCCACAACCCAGGCACATGCCCTTGGCCGGAATCGAACCTGGGACCTTTCAGTCCGCAGGCCGATGCTCTATCCACTGAGCCAAACCGGTTTCGGCGCTATTTTATCTGTTCTTAACCACACCTAACTAAGCTGGAGTAAAGCTTGCCTAATCAACCAATATCTGTTTTTAATCAGAACCTGCCCCCTTTAAACTGGGAATGTTATAGAGCAATTTAAATATATTTTCGCTAGTCAAATCCGGCCCAATTCACCTGATAGGGCAAGATTTAAAAAAAAACACACAAAAAAAACAATGACGTGCACATATCCTTTTTGCAGAAGGGTGAAATGTATTTAGAAATTAGTAAATCAGACACTGAACCAACTGGGAAAATAAGAACTTTAAATGCCTTTCACCACCTGGCTGCCGCGGCTCAGCTGGCCGAGCGTCACCCCCTGCACAGGGAGGATGGTCTGAGTCCCAGTCAGGGCACAGGTCTAGGTTGAGGCCTCCGTCCCCCGTAGAATCTTACGAGGGAACATTCGTTACAAGACATTCAACGCCACCTCAGGCCTTTCCAGTCACCAATGTCCTTTATGCACCAATATCCCAATACACAAGATTACTTTTAAAACGGGGCTTTTAATTCCAGGTACAAGTTCCTATAATCCTCCTGTCCTTCCATTAAAGTTCAGTGGGAAAGAACGGGGATTTGTACAGGATCTCGTGGCTATAGTCATTCCCAAGTACCCTATGGTTCCAATTCCACATAACCCATTACCAGCCCTTCCTGTGAACTGCCCATATTGTTCAGCGATGGATTTATGTAGTGCCTTTCCCAGCATTTCTGTAAAAGAAAGACAGAAATACCTCTTTGCTCTCACCTGGAAAGATCACAAGTTTACCTGAACAGTAACGCCCCAGGTATATGAGGAAAGTCACACCTATTTTTCTTAGATACTAGAAGCTGATTTAAAGGATGTCAAGTTTTTCTAAATGAAATTTCACAAGATTTCACTCTAAGTCAATATGTAAATAATTTATTCTCATACATTACTAAGCTCCCAAAGGGACACCTTTTACCTATTACAACAGCTAGCTATACAAGGACATAAGGTGTCAAAAAGATAAGCTTCAATTTTCCTTAAGTCAAGTAGAATACCTTCACCATCTTGCTCTAAAAATAACAACTCTGAAAGACAGGAATTCTACCTTTTCCATAAACAAGCAAGCAGCTTGGAGGAGTACTGGGTTTGAGTGGATATTGTCACAATTAGGTTCAAATTTTTCATTAAATGTCCAGTCTCTCTATGTCCCATTAAGATCAAATTGAGCTAGCCCTAACCAGTCTGGCTCAGTGGGTAGAGCGTCGGCCTGCGGACTGGAGGGTCCCAGGTTCGATTCCGGTCCAGGGCATGTACCTTGGTTGCGGGCACATCCCCAGTGGGGAGTGTGCAGGAGGCAGCTGATCTGTGGTGCTAACTCTCTATCCCACTCCCTTCCTCTAGGGAAAACGTCAATAAAATATGTATTTTTAAAAATTGAGCTAATCCAATTCAGAGGAACCCAGAAGGGAAGTAAGCTGTAAACATCTGCAAAAAATTATGTCTGGAACACCTTCATTATAAGCATTCTAACTTTTTTAAAATATATATATTTTATTGATTTTTTTACAGAGAGGAAGGAAGGATAGAGAGTTAGAAACATCGATGAGAGAGAAACATCAATCAGCTGCCTCTTGCACATTCCCTACTGGGGATGTGCCCGCAACCCAGGTACATGCCCTTGACAGGAATCGAACCTGGGACCCTTCAGTCCGCAGGCCGACGCTCTATCCACTGAGCCACACCGGCTCGGGCAGCATTCTAACATTTTATACACGGAAATAAAGGAAATGCTTTTAGGAGTTCTAACTCAAACGTAAGCATCACAGACCTACAGGCTGACAGTCAGGCACTAGACTCCGTAGGCAACGGGCTCCCACCCTGCACACAGCCGTCTCCGCTAGAGACGTGCTATGCAAACCAACGGGAAGGACGGTGGTAGGCTCCCCTCTGCCCATGTCCCTCGTTCTGCTGGATCCGTGGAACCCTTATCACACTCAGCCCTTCCCCCAGGGGACTGGCGCTGGCCTTCTGCACCTACCGGTGGTGTCACTTGAACTGGATTTAACAACTTTGCTACTGGCTTTGATGTTTTTTTGTGGGTTTTTTTTTTTACAGAGAGGAAGAGAGTTAGAAACAAGGATCAGTTGCCTCCTGCACACCTCCCACTGGGGATGTGCCCACAACCAAGGTACATGCCCTTGACCGGAATCGAACCTGGGACCCTTGAGTCCACAGGCTGACGCTCTTATCCAGTGAGCCAAACCGGCCAGGGCATGGCTTTGATGTTTTGCTTACTGACCACCTTCTTGTTCCTAGGAATGGTTTATAGGAAACTCCTCACTGATGCTGACTTAGCCCTGGCCGGTGTGGCTCAGTGGATAGAGCGTCGGCCTGCAGACTGAAGGGTCCCCGGTTCCATTCTGGTTAACCTTGACCTTAACTGAGACTGTCTTTTTGCATCTATAATAACACTAGTGGCCCGGTGCATGAATAGTGCAGGGAGAGGGGTGGTGTCCCTCAGCCCGGCCTGCACCCTCTCACAATCCGGGACCCCGCAGGGGATGTGGGACTCAGACATCCCTCTCAGAATCCGGGAACGCTGGCTCCTAACCACTCAGCTGCCTGCCTGCCTGCTCGCCCCCTGCTGGCCTGATCACCCCCAACCAGCCTGCTTGCCCCCAACTGCGCCCCCTGCTGGCCTGATCACCCCCAACCAACCTGCTTGCCCCCAACTGCGCCCCCTGCTGGCCTGATCACCCCCAACCAGCCTGCTCGCCCCCAACTGCGCCCCCTGCTGGCCTGATCACCCCCAACCAACCTGTTTGCCCCCAACTGCCCCCCCTGCCGGCCTGATCGCCCCTAACAGCCTCTGCCTCGCCCCTTCACCATGGCTTTGTCCAGAAGGAGGTCCGGAAGGTCTCCCGGCCTGATTAGCATATTACCCTTTTATTAGTATAGAGTCCCAGCGGTTCTCAACCTGTGGGTCGCGACCCTTCTGGCGGCCGAACGACCCTTTCACAGGGGTCACCTAAGCCCATCCTGCATATCAGACATTTACATGACGATTCATCACAGCAGCAACATGACCGTGATGAAGTAGCCACGACAATAATTCTATGGTTGGGCCACAACATGAGGAACTGTACTTAAAGGGCCAGAAGGTTGGGAACCGCTGGTCTAGACGATAGACACCCTTGGAAACGTCCGGGTACCTTGTACCTTCACCCCCCACACCCCTTGGGGCACAGCCCGGACCACAAACTCCTTCATTACCCCTTCCCGCCCGCGCCCGCCCCCATTTACTTTCACCCAATCCGGGGGTCCCCCCCCCCCCCCGCTTCTCCCGCCCCCTCCCCCACCCCCGTGGGTCCCACGTGACCCGCGCGCCCCCTGTGGCCGCGGCGCGTAAACACGGGAGCCGCCCTCCCCCAGCTCCATCCGGTCCACGGTCCGGCGCCAATAGGCTCAGCAGTTCTCCGCGGGTTTCCATGGTTTCTCACGTAAACAAAGTCAAACTCCCCGCCCCCCGCCCCCCCCCCCCCCCAGCCTCCCGCACCTTCTCCGCCGCTTTAGACACAAACCCGGGCCTCGGGTTCCCCATCCTCCCGCTCCGCCGCCCTGCGCGGTGCTCCCCCGCCCACCGGGGTCCCCCCCTCTTACCGGGTCCCCCCTCCCACCGGGGTCACACCCCTCTTACCGGGTCCCCCCTCCCCCCGGGTCACACCCTCTTACCGGGTCCCCCCTCCCACCGGGGTCCCCCCTCCCACCGGGTCCCCCCTCCCCCCGGGGTCCCCCCTCCCACCGGGGTCCCCCCCTCCCCCCGGGGCCCCCCCTCTTACCGGGTCCCCCCTCCCCCCAGGGTCTCCCCCTCCCCCCGGGTCCCCCCCCTCCCCCCGAGCGCCTCCCGGTCCTGCCGCGGGGCCGGGCTGCGGGGTTAGGGGGGCGGGAGGCCGGGGGCGCGCTCACCTCAGCCGGGCGCCTCGGCGCGGCCGCCGCCCTCGGGCTCAGCGGGCGGAGCGGGCGGGGGCGGCCGCGGAGCCGGGACCCGCCTCGCAGCGGGGACGACCCCCCCCCCCCCCGGCGCTCCCTCCCTCCCTCCGTCAGGACTCGGCGCGCGAATCCCTCGAATTCACCAAAAAGGCCGCCCAGACCGCCCAGAGGAGGACGCCGGAAGTCCCGCCCTCACGTCGGGGGCAGTGTTGAAACGCCCCGTTTCCTGGGCTTTCATTGGCTCCACCCGCCGTTGTTGGGCGCATTGCCTTCTGGGTAATGTAGTTTCTCCAGCCGAAGCGGTGAGTTACTATTGTCTTTAGCAACCGCATAGCTGACTATTTGCTGTGGTTGAGCGGTTGTTTCTGGGGCCGGAAGCCATGAGGTGAGGCGGTCGATTCCCACTCAGCAATCACCTCTGTGTTGTAGTTTCATTGCCGCCCCATTTTTACGACCTTTTTTTTTTTTTTCTTTGATCCTCAATGTTTCTCTCTATCCCTCCCTTCCTCTCTCTCTCTCTCTAAAAAAAATCAATAAAATATAATCAGCAGAAGTAATAATTAAGGTGTGGCCTAGACTCTGGCTGAGTAGGTCCATATGTTTGTTACCGGGTCTTCTCCTCGAGCCAAGGCTGGTCCCCCCAGGTTTGGTCCCCGGTCTTGGCTGCAATGACACCTTTAGGCTTTGTGGAGGTTGGCAGCCTTGGGGGTGGTGTGGTACAACTGATAATCCTTCGGAGAGTTTCTCAACGTTAGCTTTTTTTTCCCCAATTTTTGAATGCATTTTTATTGATGTCAGAGAGGAAGGGAGACAGGGAGAGAAACATCAATGATGAGAAAGAATCATAGATTGGCTGCCTCCTGCACGCCCCGCACTGGGGATCAAACCTGCAAGCCAGGCATGTGCCCCCACCTGGAATTGAACCTCGATTTCCTGCTTCATGGGTCAACGCACAACCACTGAGCCACACTGGCCAGGCAGTGTTAGCTTTTTCTAAAATGATTCACGGGGAGGCTCTTATGGGCTGAATTGTATACGGTTGATTCATACACAGGAATTGTAACCCCCATTAACGCAGAATGTGACTGTATTTGAAAACAAGGTCTATAAAAATGTAATATAAGGTCATTAGATTGGACTGGTGTCATGAGAGTAAGACACACACACACACACACACACACACACACACAGTGTAACACTCATGTGAGGACACAGAAGCCAGCCATCTGCAAGCCAAGGAGAGAGGCCTCAGGAAAAACCAACGGTCCTGACATCTTCATGTGACTTCCAGCCTGGAAATATGTAAAAATAAAGTAATTTCTGCTTTTTAAATTGCCAGTGTGAGGTACTTTGCTATCGTAGCCCACGCAGACTAATGCAGGGCCCATTATCGTCTATGAAAAAAAGAAAAACCTGCAGGGCACCCTCAAGAGAAAGGGGGCCCTGGCTGGTGTGGCTCAGTGGATAGAGTGCCGGCCTGTGGACTGAAGGGTCCGAGGTTTGATTCCAGTCGAGGGCACAGGCCCGGGTTGTGGGCTCGATCCCCAGTATGGGGGTGTGCAGGAGGCAGCCGATCCATGATTCTCTCATCATTGATGTTTCTCTCTCTCCCTTTCCTCCCTGAAATCAATAAGAATACATTTAAATTAAATAAAATTCTTTAATATTGAAAGTAGATGCTGCACTTATTGATCATTCCCCAAAGTGGGTTGAGAGGATGGTTTTGTGTGAAGGTGTCATCTTTTTGTCCAGCTTTATTGAGGTGTAATTCATTAACCTGTGAGATATTTATAATGAACATGCTGTGACTTGATGATACAGATACATTGTGAAAAGCTGATTAAGGCTTTTTTTTCTTTAATCCTCACCCAAGGATATTTTTCTGTTGATTTTTAGGGAGAGGGGAAGAGAGAGGGAAAGACAGAAACATTGATGTGAAACACATCGATGGGTTGCCTCCCGCATGAGCTACCTGGGACCAGTTGGTCTGCAGGCCAATCCTCTATCCACTGAGCCACACCAGCCAGGGCAGGCCCAGAGTTTGTAAAGATTTTGCATAGCCATGGCCGGTGTGGCTCAATGGATAGAGCGTCGGCCTGCGGACTCAAGGGTTCCCAGGTTCGATTCTGGTCAAGGGCATGTACCTCGGTTGCGGGCACACACTCAGTGTGGGGTGTGCAGGTGGCAGCCGATCAATGAGTCTCTCTCCTCACTGATGTTTCCCCTTACCTCCCTCTCTGAAATCAATAAAACTATATATTGCAAAAAAAAAGAAAAAAAGCTGATTTCTATAGCTACAGGGCTCATATTTCTGAAAACCAAAACATGAATGCCATGCCCTGACTGGTTTGGCTCAGTGGATAGAGCCTCGGCCTGTGGACTGAAGGGTCCCAGGTTTGATTCCAGTCAAGGGCATGTACCTTAGTTGGGGGCACATCCCCAGTAGGGGGTGTGCAGGAGGCAGCTGATGGATGTTTCTCTCTCACGGATGTTTCTAACTCTCTATCCCTCTCCCTTCCTCTCTGTAAAAAATCAATAAAAATATATTTTTAAAATATTCATGAATGCCAAGCTGGGCTGTAACGAAAGCTGCACACAGTAGGGCAGTTTCCCAGGTGACACTTAGGCACTGATTGATCAGTGGGATACGGGAACCTGGGACGGGCCCTCTGGGTGGAGGCCAAAGAAAGCGACCATCTGGGAGTTGCAGGTCATCGAGTCTCTTACCGAGTGTCTGGGGGGCCTAGCCTTCCTCTGCTGACGTCGCCGGGGCAGCCGCCTGCAAAGGAATGCCACTTCCTCCCCAGACTCACCACAAACACTATAGTTCTCACTCGCAGCGCGATCCAGGGAAAAAGGGGAAACGCAGGAAGAATCATCATTTATTTGCTAGTATTTGTTATCAGAAACCTGGGGAGCAAAGGTGCGCCTCGGCCCCAGGCACTGTGACCGAGGAGGAGAGAAGGCAGGACCAGGCCAGTCACTCCAAACGAATGGGCCGAGTTCGTGGACATCACGCAGCAGGAGACCCTGCCCTGAGTGGGTCAGTTCAGGCAGCGGTTCAGGTGTCTGTCGACTCCACAGCGGCCTTTCCGTTAACCAGCCTGAGGTGCCAGTTTGTCTGGGACGATGCCCAAGACAGAATTCAAAGGCTTAGGTCCGGCCGGTGTGGCCCAGTGGCTGAGCGTCGAGCCAGGAACCAAGAGGCCACAGGTTTGATACCCTGACAGGGCACAGGCCTGGGTTGCGGCCTGATACTGGGTGGGGGGCGTGCCGGAGGCAGCTGATCGATGGTTTCTCTCTCAACGATGTATTTCTCTATCACTCTCCCTTCATTCTCTCTAAAAAGAAAAAAATCAATAAAAAATATATTTAAAAAATATATATATATATATATTTTTAAACTGAAAGGCTTAGGGATAGCCACATTGGCTTAATTTGTCGTGTGTGAGAAGTGCGTCTATATATTCCTTCATCACATTCTTTTATTTTCTGTATTTTATTATGGTGACATCCTGGAGGGCCCGCCGACCTGGAAGAGACTGCCCCTCCCAGGGCAAGTTAGTTAATTATAATAATAAAAGGGTAGTATTCTAATTAGACCAGACGTCTTCTGGACATCCTTCCTGGTGAAGCAGGGGCTGGAGGGAAGCCAGCCCGGATCCCGGGTGCCTGCGGGCGGCCAGAGGAGGGAAGCCCGGGTCCTGGGTGCCGGAAGAAAGCCGGTGCCGGCAGCCAGGGGAAGGAAGGCCTACTCTTGCAGGAATTTTCGTGCACCGGGCCTCTAGTAAAAGAGAATAAAAAACCTGCCCTTCTGCCCCAAAACCCACAAATAAACAACCTGCTCAGGAGCCTCCCATTCTTTCATATGCATTCTTTCATCTTACTGATCCAGAGCCCTACTGGTCCACCACCTTTATCTGACTCACAGGCCAGACCAATGTCTTTTCCTAAATCAAACCAGGGTGAGGCAGCAGGAAACTGGGGGCTACCCCTACCACCAACGCCTGCCAGTGATTCCAACTCTCACGTCTGATGTGGTCGATGCCTCCGGCCTTGCCTTTCCCCAGGAACCTACTGGGAAGGTGTGTGCCCACGCTCTCCTCGCTCCCTCCTGCCGTTACCAACGCTGGCGCTGTCCCCTGTGGCCCCGTGCGACACAGCCTGTCTCTGCTCTCGGGAGCTGTGAGCAATAAAACCTTCTTACAGAGGCATCAAACTCTCCAAGTCCCCATTCGGTCACCTCTGTAAATTAAAACCCCGTGGTTAGCCCGGCCGGCGTGGCTCAGTGGTTGATCATCGACCTATGAACCAGGAGGCCACAGTTTGATCCTGGGTCAGGGCACATTCCCGGGTTGAGGGCTCCATCCCCAGTGGGGGGCGTGCAGGAGGAATTTGTTCAGTGATTCTCTCTCATCGTTGATGTTTCTCTCTCTTTCCCTCTCCATTCCCCTCTGAAATCAATCAAAATATCTTAAAAATATATATACAGCCCAGCTGGTGTGGCTCAGTGGTTGAGCGTTGACCCAGGAACCAGGAAGTCAGGGTTCGATTCCTGGTCAGGGCACATGCCTGGGTTGTGAGCTTGATCCCCATAGGGTGCGTGCGTGCAGGAAGCAGCCAATCAATGATGTTCCTCTCTCACTGACGTTTCTAGCTCTCTCTCCTTTGCCTTTCCTCTTTTAAAAAATCAATAAAAACGTATTTAAAACAAAACATGGCCATGGGTATAATCAAGATCACGGCCGTAGGGAGCAGGGGGACTGGCCCACAGACTATGCGTTCCTGCTTGCCCTCTGGCTCACTGGGTGCATTAAAGGGCCGACCCCGCGGACCTGGGAGTGGGGGGCGTATGCAGTGCCTGTGTACTGGCCTCGGGACCCCAACCTCAATGATAAGATCTCATCCTGGGCCCTGCGGCTCAGTGGTCAGAGCACCAGGCTGCACACGGAAGGAAGGGCTGAGGGCTGGATTCCCTTCGCTCCCCCTCCCCATTGGGGTGGGGTGGGAGGCCACCAATTGATGTTTCTCTCACATCAATGTTTCTCTCTCTCTCCTTCCCCCTCCCTCCCTCCCAGTTCCTTGGAAAAGCAATGGGAAAAATATCCTCAAGTGAGGACTAAAGATAAAAAAGACCTCAAAGGCGGGGGCCTTTCTGGACATCTTCACTCGGTCTTCAGTGCGGAGTTTCCTGGGGTGTGCAATGGACCCACTGGGTGCCATGTGGTTCCCGGCCCGACTCACCCAGAGGCCCTAAGACAGTTGGTTAGCAGACAAGGCACAGGCCTAGGAGTCAGGAATGGGTTCCCTACAAGCAGGTGTTAGGGGCCCTGGCCAGTGGGGTTCGGCTGGTTGGAGAGTGGCCCAATCCACCGAGAGGTCACGGGTTGGGGTCCCGGTCAGGGCACACCCCCAGTTTGCAAGTTCCATCCCCGGGTCTGAGTGCCTAAGGGGGGCAGGCAACCAATGTTTCTCTTATATCGGTGATTCTCTCTCTCTCAAAAATCAACAAAAATATACCCTCAGGTGGGAGAAGATGAAAAAAAATAGTAAAGTTTCACTGTCATTGCGGAAAAAAAAAAAAAAAAGTAGTTTGGAGTGAAATGACCCTGCAACACCAGCCAGTGTGGGCCATCCCATCTCCTCCCGACTCTTGTGGGCAGAACTGCATTGGTCAGTGTGTACGCAGGACGTCCTGCCGACACTGGCAGCGTGCGGACTGGAGGTAAAGGGACCCAGAGGTCATGTGGGGTGCGGGGCCTCCTGAGGAACCACGATACACAGATAGCTTAACGGTTGCTTCAGAGGCAACTCTTTGCTGTTGCTTACGCTTTGGAAAAGTCTGCCCACATGTGTGTAAACATACACTTCCGGCCCAGCTGGCATGGCCTCGTGGGTGAGCGTCAGGCTGTGAGCCAGGTCCGATTCCAGGTCGGGGCACACACACAGAGGCTGCCAGCTTGATCCTCCCCGTGGGGCGTGCAGGAGGCAGCCAAGCGATGACTCTCTCATCATTTGTATTTCTATCTCTCTCTCCTTCTCCCTTCCTCTCTGAAATCAATAAAACTGTATTTTAAAAAACACAAAAACTATTCCATAGGGCAAAGAAGTCACTCAGGTCCTCGAGGAATGAGTGACATTCCAACAAGTGTTTGGATGCTACACTGTCAGCCCATTAATTAAAACAATAAATTCAGCCCTAACCGGTTTGGCTCAGTGGATAGAGCGTCGGCCTGGGGACTGAAGGGTCCCAGGTTCGGTTCTGGTCAAGGGCATGTACCTTGGTCGCGGGCACATCCCCAGTAGGGGGTGTGCAGGAGGCAGCTGATCGATGTTTCTCTCTCATCGAGGTTTCTAACTCTCTATCCTTCTCCCTTCCTCTCTGTAAAAAAAACAATAAAAATATATTAACAAACAAACAAAAACAATAAATCCATAAAAAGGAAACAGGCAGAGATTCTGAGCAGACATGTTACCAAAGGAGATAGAGGCTGTGTGTTCATAAATAAATGCATGGGCACATGCTCACCCTCGTGAATTGTTAGGGAAATGGAACTGAAATAAACAAGTTGCTCTACACTGACGTCCGGGGATATTTAAAAAATTAGCCACAGGAAGGGCTGGCCAAGTGGCAGAAGAACTGGCATCTTCATACCCTGTGGGTGGCGGGAAGGCAAAGGGAACAACGCTTTAGATCGCAGTTACGCATTTTTTTAAAATGTAAGCACTTATCTACATTGTACGTTTGAGAAACACAGCACGCATCGACATAAAGGACCCGGAGTGCACGTATTCATAGCAGCTTTATTGGTAATACCGCAAACCCGGGCGTAACCCTAACCGGAGGCAGATCAACGGGTAAACACGGGGCGTATTTACAGTTCAGGCTACTCCTACGCAGGAAAGGAATGAGCTATTCACATCAGCACTGCGGCTGGAATCCTGAAATGGCTGTGCGGCAAGAAGGAAACCGTTACACACCGGTGACGTTACAGAAACTACGAGCTACTCTACTGTAAGGAAAGGGAGTCAGTGGCTGCACCAGGGCGGGGACGGGCGGGGAGGGAGCATGGCGGGCAGGGGGCAAACACTGGGCGAGAGAATGGAGACCGACAGCGCGGAAATCAGCACGATTAATAAATAATTCAGGAACGGGCTCCATTCTGCACGCGCTCGCCCGGCCCGTGAGTGGCAGGCCAGTCCGCTTCCTGTGTGGCGGTCTCATAGCTTCATCCGTGTCCGAGCTCGGCGAACAGCACACACTGGTAAGTGCACTTGGCTGCATGTGACGTGTACGTATGTACAGGAATAAAGCTTTCGACGCCGCTGCCAGGCGGGCCTGAGGTCCCCCTTGGCTGAGGGAGTCGGGTTGGCCGGCCTGTGCGGCCCCCACCTCTCTCCCCTCAGGCCCGGGAGGGGCAGCCTGGCGGAAGGGGCAGCGGAGACGGGCACGCGAGGAAGACTCCTGCCCTCGAAGTCACAGGAATGCTGACGGTCGCAAAGGACGTTCCGGGAATGACTACAGTAAATCGATCGCCTTGCTTCCCGGCCGGTTTGCTTGTCTGCAGAGCAATGGCCGGGAGGGGCACACCTCAGAGAGGCTAGGCCAGCGGTCGGCAAACTCAGTCCACAGAGCCAAGTATCAACAGGACGATGATTAAAATTTCTTTTGAGAGCCAGATTTTTTAAACTTAAACTCTATAGGTAGGTACATTGTTATTAACTTAATTAGGGTCCTCCTAAGGCTTAGGAAGAGCCACACTCAAGGGGCCAGAGAGCCGCATGTGGCTCGCGAGCCGCAGTTTGCCGACCACGGGGCTAGGGGATCCGCAAAGCTGCTAGAGGCAGTGATAAAGGTCATGAGAGGGTCTGTTGCCACGGACCCCAGAAGCCACAGGCCCTGCAGCATCTGTGGCTGAGCTTTCAGAAGAGAGACCTTTGTTCTGCCCGGGCCAGTGTGGCTCAGTGGATAGAGCCTCGGCCTGCGGACTGAAGGGTCCCAGGTTCGATTCCGGTCAAGGGCACATGCCTGGGTTGTGGGCTCGACCCCCAGTGTGGGGCATGCAGGAGGCAGCCGATCCACGATTCTCTCTCATCATCTCTCATCATTGATGCTTCTCTCTCCCTCCTTCCCTCTCTGAAATCAATAAAAATATATTTTTAAAAAAACGAAGCGACACCCTCGTTCTAATTTACTAGTCTCCCCCCCTCACTACGAACACAGTGCTTCTGTCCCAACTGTGGTGCCACCTAACCTGAGACGGACAACAGGTCGCCCGCCTACGACATCTCACTCCCGCGGCCGGTGGCTCCCCCGCACGGGTGGAGGCAGGCAATGTACACGGTAAAAAAGGGACTAAATTCATACTGTCCACAGAAGCACAACAGAATGCCCCCTCTTCAGGGTGACCTCTGACCCCCCATCATCGCGGCACCGGGATCCCCACCAGGACCACAAAGTCATGCAGTGTCTCCGGCCAGGCCGTGGGCAGCTAAGTTCAAAACGAGCCAACGCTGGACAAGGCTGGACAAGGGCCCGGTCCCCTCTGACGCACAGACAGTTAGGGGGCCCCTAACACAGACACGTTCCCCTCCACATGCTGGCAGATCACACTTCTTATTCCCAATCATCTCACGCAGGGACTGTACAACCACCATAGCTATATCATCATTCCATCACGATCCAGAAAAGCTTACAGCCACGCGTCCAGGTTGGGGAAGGCGAACCTGGGAGAACTCCTCACAGCGTCAGCGTGAGAACAACGTCCATCAGAAGGTCGTGCTTAGCTGAGGATGGGGCCCCCGGACCAGCACGGGGCCCGGCCCACCCCTGGCGGAGAGAAAGGAAGGAGGGTCCCCCCACAGGCCTGCCCATTCCCCATCTCCTCCAGCAGGAGGGAGACCACGGGGTCGGCTTCCCTGAGCACGCAGGGGCGGGGCTGACGCTCGCCATGCAGGGGAGCCAGGGGTGGAGGGGAGAGGGCCTCCGCTACGAAATCTACCAGTGACGTCGTCTAGGAACAGCCCTGGGCAGGTGGGAAAGTGCAATGGGCCTCCTTCAAGCCTCACCAGTGCCGACAACTCACGAGGAACCAAGCGCATTGGATGTCCCGCTACAACAGGTTCTAATTCAGCTAAATTGGTCTCTGAGGGCCTCCCCCAGTGCGGTCAGCCTGAGAGGAAAGCAAGCGTTCCCTGCACTATTACGGCTTTTCCCCAGTGTGAAGCCTCCGGTGTCTAAGGAGGTTGGACGTGCGGGTGAAAGACTTCCCGCATTCGTTGCACTCGTAAGGCCTCTCCCCCGTGTGCACCCTTTTGTGCTGAATGAGGGCGGAGCTGTGGCTGAAGGACTTGTCACAATAAGCACACTCATAGGGCCTTTCTCCAGTGTGAACTCGCCAGTGTCGAAGGAGGTTGGACGTGCGGGTGAAGGTTTTCCCGCATTCGTTACACTCGTAGGGTCTCTCTCCAGTGTGCACCCTTTTGTGCTGAATGAGGGCGGAGCTGTGGCTGAAGGACTTCCCACAATCACTACACTCATAGGGCCTTTCCCCCGTGTGAACTCGCCAGTGTCTAAGGAGGTTGGACGCCCGGGTAAAAGACTTCCCGCATTCATTGCACTCATAGGGCCTCTCTTCGCTGTGAACACTTTTGTGCTGGATGAGGGAAGAGCTGCGCCTAAAGGCCTTCCCGCAGTCACTGCACACGTACGGCTTCTCGCCGGTGTGAATTCTTTGGTGTTTGATGAGGTTGAAGTTGTAGATGAAGCGCTTCCCACAAACACCGCATTCGTACCGCCTCTCTCCGGTGTGAACCTTCCGGTGCTGAATGAGGATGTAATTGTAGCGGAAGCACTTGCCGCAGTCACCACACTCATAGGGCTTCTCCCCCGCGTGCACCTTCTGGTGGTAAATGAGGGCGGAGCTCTGCCTGAAGCACTTTCCACACTCGGTGCACTGGTAGGGCTTCTCTCCGGTGTGAACCCGCTGGTGCTGGATGAGGGCAGAGCTGTTGGTGAAGGTCTTCCCGCAATCGCTACACTCATAGGGCCTCTCTCCAGTGTGAACTCTCTTGTGTCGGATGAGGGCAGAGCTGTGGCTGAAGGACTTTCCACAGTCGCTACAGCCGTACGGGTTCTCGCCCGTGTGGATTTTCTCGTGCCTCATGAGATTAAACTTGTAGCTAAAGCATTTCTTACAGAAACTGCACTCGTAGGGCTTCTCTTCAGAGTGAATCCTCTGGTGCTGGATGAGGGTGTACTTGCAGCTGAAGCACTTCCCACAGACACTGCACTCGTAGGGCTTCCCTTCCGTGTGCACACTCTGGTGTCGGAGGAGGAAGAACTCGCAGCTGAAGCACTTCCCGCACACCCCGCACTCGTAGGGCAGCCTCTCCCCCGCGTGCACGCTCCGCTGGAGCATGAGGTTAAAGGTCTGGATGGAGGCCTTCCCGCACTGGCTACACTCAAACAGCCCCTCCCCCGTGTAGACGCTCTGCTGCGGCAGGTCCTGGCTGTGGAAGGCGGCCTTCTCGCACTCCCCCCACTGGCGCGGCCCCGTCCCGCTGTGGACGGGCTGCCAGCTCTCAATGACGCTGTGTGGCTCCTCGGTGCCCAGCGTGGGCTGGTGCTGGAGGAGGCCGGCGGCGGCGGCGAGGTCCCCCTCCGCCTCCCCAGCGGTGAACGGCGCCCCCGACACATAGAAGCTGTCACTGGTCATGAGCGAGGCCCTGTCCACGCCCCCCATCCAGGGCTCCTCGGCCCGGGCCTCCCGCTGCTGCTGGTGGATGTTGGCCCTGAAACAGAAGCCCCTCGCACACGCGTCACTGAAGAAGGCCCTCTGCTCCAGGTTCCCCGCCTGGACCTCCGTCAGGTGGAAAATAGCTTTCAGGACTAAGACGCACTGCTCACAGGAATGTGTCTTCTCAGCGGCGGGCGCTGGCTCAGACGCACTGACCTGCGACTCCGCTTCTACAGACACGATCTGCTCACAGGGGGCCTCCTCGTCTGCCGGTTTATGCCAGTAACCTGAAAGCAGAGAGACGCCGAGGAGAGGGATGCCGGCGCGGGCGGCCGGGGCAAGGCCCGTCACCGCGGCTTGTCAGGCTCCATCGCTGGTTTCAGGGGACTGTTGGACAGTAAGAGCCCTGGAGGCAGGTTGCAGATCGAGCTGCTGGTCACAGAATAGGGGAGACCTCACCAGGAAACCCCACAAAGAGGGCATGCGCCACACGGGAGAGGAGAAGGACCTCCAGACCTTCCTTCCGCTAACAGCTTCCAGCAAGGCTTGCTGGCTGGTGACACGGGCCAATAAAACTCAGTACGAGTGGCCTGGCGCCCACACACTAGTGAAGGGCGTGTGCACAGCTCACAGCACATGCGCAGGTCGACGCTGGAGAATAAGGAAGAGGGAGCAGGTGATGCGCAGAGGCCTCAGAGGGGAGGTGGCTGGGAGTCAGAGATAAGATGACAAGACAGCCAAGTTCCAAGTACCGGTGCGGCCAGTGGCACAGGCACCAGCACACGATTGGAAACGGGGCAGAAGCGGGCAGGGCCTGAACACAGCCCTATGCCACGCTCTGGCCCAGTCGCCCCTCACCAGGGGAGCCCTCCTCTGAGGCCACCCTGACACGTGCGCCCTGTGAAAAAGTCAGGGCTCCCCTGCACCTTCCACTGTCCATCTGCTCAGTGACCGAGTCTGAATGGGGTGAGCAGCCAGCACTAGCCCAGAGCACCCGGCAGCCATCGGCATCCAGGGAAGACAACATTACAAACACCTGGTGGTGGATCTCACAAGGACAGCCCATGGTTCCTGTGAGTGATGACCATGACCTGGTACAGGAAGCCGCAAAGAGCTCTAGGCTAGAGGGAGGGGCGGAAAGGGAGGCCACGGATGTGGACACAGTCGCCCTGCAGGGGGAGGGTGCAGAGCTGGGCGCACTAAGCTGTCAGCAAGGCTCCCGACTCCCAGGCTCTCCCCGCACTTATTGAGGCAACAGGTGTTAGGGCTGCTCGGGGTGCCCCTGGGGCAGGGCCCGCCACAGCTCAGCACCGGCACATGTGACCAGAGACTGGGGGTGATCGGCAGAACCCGTGGGCTGGTTGTGGGACTGACACAGCCATTGCTGGAGCAAAGGGGAGGCAGGGCATCACCTCGGACGCTAGGAAGAGTATCAGGGTCTTACCCACGGAGGCCACGAGTGTACAGATCTCCAGCATCACCTCGCAGTACAGGAGCCTCTCCGCCGCATCCAGGAGCCCCCACTCCTCCTGGGAGAAGGCGATGGTCACGTCCTCAAAGCTCATGTCCTGTCACAACAAGCACAGTTCACACCGAGATCAGCTTCTCTCCTAGGGTTTAGGTTCACCGGACCCGGCGTCTCCGTTCATCTGCTCCCTCCCACCTCTGAGGAGACAGCAGGCCTTGGTCCCATCGAAGTCACCCTCCCCTTAGATCCCCGCTGACACCGTCTTCCCACAGCAACAGGGAGATGGGCAGAGAGAGGACGCCCGTGCTGAGGCCACCCTGCCCCTTGTTAACACAGCGGGTGCCACCGACACGGGGCAGGGGACAAGCTGGCCGGAGAAGGAGTGAGCGATCACTCGTCTCGTCAGGCGATGCCCTGCGATCCTGCACACGGTCCCTCCAGGGATCAGAACACACGGCCTCACCTTCATGCTGAGGCCCATTCGCAGGCGCCGAGGCAACCCCGCTCCGCACACAACTCTCTGAGCCTCCCTCGCCCGCACAGCCGCACGCCCAGGGCACAGCCGCAAAGGCAGCACAGCCTGCGGGATGGACAGGTGTCCCCGTCAGCCTCGCTCTCATGATACTAACTAACCGCCTGCCTCACCCCTCTCTGCTCCCCGCTCCCTGCTCCCCACTCCCGTCCCCAGCAAGGGGGGTGGAGTCCAGCCTGGGTGGCACTGACGCCCGCTATCTCACTGAGGCCCTGTCCATCACTGTACCCGCCACAGCAACAGGCAGGAAGGGGCATGCATGACATCAAAGCTCTGGGCGGGCATGGAGGGCCACACCCCCTCCTTCCAGGGAACTCCCGGGGGAGCCACATCGCGCTTCCACCAGATACGACAGACATGGGCTCGCCCTTCACTCACGCTCACGTCAATGCCAGGGCCCTGCAGCCCTGAGTTCACACGCCCCCTCCACGTGCCCATCACTGTCCGACCACACCTCTCCCGCCTGCACCCCCACTGCCCGCTGCCTCCTGTGCGGCACCCCATCATCTCCTTGGCCTCTCTCTCCACTGCTCAGCAGATGGGGTCCGGAGAACGTTCGGAAAATTCTAAGAGGATCGAGCATGGCCCGGGCTCTGATGGTCCACATCACAGAGGCGGCCGGAGTCCTGCCCCGAGGGCCTCCTTCCTGAGTGTTCCTGCCGGTTCCTTGTTCCCACGTCACTTCGGCTCTCAGGTGCCCACAGCCTTCCCCACTGGTGCTGCACCTCCTGTCCCTTCACAGTCACAGCCTTCCCTCTCCTCACCCCACACCAGGCCCAGCCCCAGTGGCCCTCTGGCATGTGCCCAGTGAGTCTCCCAATGACCACGTGTGCAGCTGGGCCATTGTGCCGGCCGAGTGCCACTCCCCACCACACCAAGGGGCACAGCAGCAACGTCCTGGGGAGGCTCTAGGGCCGTGTGAGCTACTGCTCTGCCTCCACCCATCTCATGGCCACTCATCCCGCGGAGGCCGTGACCTCTGCCCAACCAGAGTCTCCCCGCCCCCCTCCACATGGCCGCCTCGTCTGTCACCTGTGTGATACCCACTTCTCACAATCGGAGGCCCGCACAGGAAACCGGGGCCTCGGGCTCAGCCTCCTCTTCCTGAGCTGCTGCCACCACCATCCTCCCAACCAGGATTCCCCTTATAAAGGGAGCTGCCGCCCTAGCCGGTTTGGCTCAGTGGATAGAGCATTGGCCTGCGGACTCAAGAGTCCCAGGTTCGATTCCAGCCAAGGGCATGTACCTTGGTTGCGGGCACATCCCCAGTGGAGGGTGTGCAGGAGGCAGCTGATCGATGTTTCTAACTCTCTATCCCTCTCCCTTCCTCTCTGTAAACAATCAATAAAATATATTTTAAAAAAAGGGGGGGGGGGGCTGCAGCTCCTCCGTAGTCAGACACCTCCACTCCCTTCTGGGGAGTCTCCACCCTGAACGCCTCCTCCGGTTCCAGAAACCGAGGAGCTGCTCTCAAGCATCTCGTCCCTCACAGGCCAGAAATGAAACCCCGATTTCCTCGACGGGCATCGCTCTCACTGCTACGGGCTTCCCCGTCTCAGTGTATGGTGAGCCCATTCCTCCAGGAGCTAAACCCACATTTCCATGCCACCCCTGCCTCCTCTCTCTCTCCCTTCCAGTTAGAAAACCCAGGCAGCCTAACCGGTGTGGCTCAGTGGATAGAGCGTCGGCCTGCGGACTGAAGGGTCCCGGGTTCGATTCCGGTCCAGGGCATGTGCCTTGGTTGCGGGCACATCCCCAGTGGGAGGTGTGCAGGAGGCAGCTGATCGATGTTTCTAACTCTCTATCCCTCTCCCTTCCTCTCTGTAAAAAAAATCAATAAAAAAAAAATTAAAAAGAAAAAAAAATCCAGGCGGTGCCCTTGGCAGGTGGCTGAGTTGGGAGGAGAGCTGTCATTTTTTTTTTTTTTAATATCTTTTATTGATTTTTTACCGAGAGGAAGGGAGAGGGATAGAGAGTTAGAAACATCAATAAGAGAGAAACATCGATCAGCTGCCTCCTGCACATCCCCCACTGGGAATGTGCCTGCAGCCAAGGTACATGCCCTTGACCGGAATTGAACCTGGGACCTTTAGTCCGCAGGTCGACGCTCTATCCACTGAGCAAACCGGTCAGGGCGAGAGCTGTCTTGATATGACAAGGTTGCAGGTTCAGGGTGTGATCCCCTGTCCGGGCACCTACAGGAATCAACCACCAGTGAATGCATGAATAGAACAACAAATCAATGTGTGTCTCTCTCTCTCTATCACTCTTCCTATCTCCCTAAAATCAATAAATAACACTTAAAAAAAAACAACAACAAAATCCAGGGGCCACACCTAAAACGCCAAAATCCAGCTGCGTCTCCCATTTCCACACCCACCATCACGGCCCCGTTACCTCACCCTCAGCCTCCCCCCTGGTCTTCCTGCCTCATCACTCAGACCTGCACCGCCCTCCATGCTGCGGCCACAGGGAGCCTCACGGGACCTGGGTCAGATCCCCTGCCTCCACCACGGCTGCCATCTCCCATCACCCCCATCACCTGCAGACCAGACACCTGACCTGTCACAAAGCTACTCAATACCTGACTCCTGCCCTGGCTGGTGTGGTTCAGTGGATAGAGCCCAGGCCTGTGGACTGAAAAGCCCTGGCTTCCATTCGGGTCAAAGTCACATGCTAGGGTTGTGGGTTCCATCCCCAGTGGGGGGCGTGCGGGAAGCAGCCAATCAATGGTTCTCTCTCATCATTGATGTTTCTCTCTCTCTCTCTTCCTCCCTCTCCCTTCCTCTCTGAAATCAATAAAAATATATTTTAAAAAAAATTGGACTCTTGTCCCAACTGTTCCCATTTCCCATAAGAAAGCAAGGACAGCCCTAACCGGTGTGGCTCAGTGGACAGAGCGTCAGCCTGCGGCCTGAAGGGTCCCAGGTTCCATTCTGGTCAAGGGCATGTACTGTGGTTGCCAGTAGGGGGGTTGCAGGAGGCAGCTGATGGATATTTCTAACTCTATCCCTCTCCCTTCCTCTCTGTAAAAAAATCAATAAAAGTGCCGAAACCGGTTTGGCTCAGTGGATAGAGCGTCGGCCTGCGGACTGAAAGGTCCCAGGTTCGATTCCCGTCAAGGGCATGTACCTGGGTTGCAGGCACATCCCCAGTGGGAGATGTGCAGGAGGCAGCTGATCGATGTTTCTCTCTCATCGATGTTTCTGACTCTCTATCTCTCTCCCTTTCTCTCTGTAAAAAATCAATAAAATATATTTTTTAAAAAAATCAATAAAAGATATTTAAAAAAAAGAGAAGAAAGCGAGGACAGCCTAACCGGTGTTGCTCAGTGGATAGAGCATCGGCCTGCGGCCTGAAGGGTCCCAGGTTCCATTCTGGTCAAGGGCATGTACTTTGGTTGCCAGTAGGGGGCGTGCAGGAGGCAGCTGGTCGATGTTTCTAACTATCCCTCTCCCTTCCTCTCTGTTGTTTTTTTTAAAATATACTTTATTGATTTTTTTACAGAGAAGAAGGAAGAGGGATAGAGAGCTAGAAACATCCATGAGAGAGAAACCTCAATCAGCTGCCCCCTGCACACCCCCCACCGGGGATGTGCCTGCAACCAAGGCACATGCCCTTGACCGGAATCGAACCTGGGACCCTTCAGTCCGCAGGCCAACGCTCTATCCACTGAGCCACACCAGTTAGGGCTCTCCCTTCCTCTCTGTAAAAAAAAAATCAATAAAATATATTTACAAAAAAAAAAAAAAAAAAAGTCAGCAAGGACACCTGCACCTGCGGGTGCCTGAACCAGCTCGCCCCCTCCCCCCCCAACCCCCGGAAGCCACTGCGCATTCTGGCCCCTGTGCCAGGAGGACCCCCCACAGCTCATCCCACCGGTGGCCAAAGGCTGACACCACTTCCTACCACCCGAGACCTGGACTTAGGACTCTGGGCTGAGTGTCCCCGGGGCCGGGGCGGGAAGAGGGGCCGACGGCCCCACGGGCACCACGACCTCAGAGGCCACCAGAAAGTGAGGCCCTGACAGGAGCCCCCAGCCCCGTCCCCCAGCGGCTCTGCCCCCGCAGGAACCGGTGGGAACGAAAGGACTGAGGGCCGGGCACCCACCCCAGGACCCAGGGCTCCGGCTGCTCAGGGCCCTGGCCCGGGAGATGCCCGCCTCGCTCGGGGCTCAAGGTCCGCAGTGCAGACTCTTGCCAATTCCGTTCTTTTTTTTTTAATATATTTTTATCGATTTCAGGGAGGAAGGGAGAGGGAGAGGCAGACAGGAAATCAATGGTGAGAGAGGATCACGGATCCGCCGCTCCCTGCACCGCGCCCCCCGGGGGGATGGAGCCCGCACCCCGGGCGTGTGCCGGACCGGATCCGAACCGCGAACCCCCTCCTCTCCCCCCGGTTCCTGGGTCCAGGCTGGACGGACCCCTGACCCCCGCGGGCCGGGCTGCCCGTCCGTCCTCTCTCCCGGGAGCCGCCTTCCGCCCCGCACGGCCGTCCTCCCTCTCCCCGGTTCTCACTCCGCGCAGCTCGGGAACCCCGAGAACCGCATCCGAGACCCTGTCCCCCTTTTGTTCCCGACCATGCGCGGCCCCCGCGCCCCGAGAATGGAAGTGGAACCCGGCGCCCGCACCGCCTCGCCGCCCCGTCTCCGCCGCCTCCGGACGCACAACGGGGCCGGGGCTGCCCGCGTCTCCCCGGCTCGGCCTCCGGGGCGCGGTGCCCCCGCGGACCCTCCGCCGGCCGCCCCCTCGCACCCCCGTCCCTCCGGGCGTCACCCCCGAGCGCCTCGCCGGCCGCCGGGCCGGTGCCGGGGCTGCGGGACCTGCCGGGCACCCGCCCCCGGGGGACGCGCCCTCACCTCGGCCGGGAACCGCAGCGAGGCCGCCGCCATTGGACTTTGTGGGCGGAGCGGGGTCTGCGGGTCCGGGAGCCCCGGATCCCCGACCGTGAGGACGCGCCAGGCGCCCGCCTCGCCGCCGCACAGCCGGGACGGCCCCTCCGGCGCCGTCTCCATCGCGAACCGGCGCTCCGGAGCCGGGCGGTGCGAGCCCCTGAACGGACCCGAGAGGCCAAAATGACCGCCACGAGGAGGACCCGGAAGTCCCGCCCTGACCCCTGGCGCTGCCCAGCAACGCCCCTCTCCCGAGCGCTCATTGGCTGCGCCCGCCGTCACTCGGCGCGTTGCCCTCTGGGGAATGTAGTTTTCCGCGGCCGGTGGTGGACGCTAGTGTCCCAGTCACTGACCTTGGGGAGCAATGGATTGGCCGCTGCCCTGGCCGATGGCCCGGTTTGTCCGGGCGCCTTCTGCGTGCGCCTCGCTCCTGCGTTTGATCCCAGGTCGTGGTTCAAATGACAGTTTTAGGTTTGGGGGGGATGAGGGGTGCAGATGGGGGTGGGGGTATGCATGTTTGTGGGGCGTGTGGTTTGCAACTGAGGACTTGTCTGCAACTGACTAGGTTTTTGAAGGCATTTTTATCTGACTTTGTGAAGCTCAGAATGGTTTTTGAGGCGCACTGTTTTTTTTAATATATATGTATTTATTGATTTCAGAGAGGAAGGGAGAGGGAGGGAGAGAGAGAAACATCAATGACGAGAGAAAATCATGGATGGGCTGCCTCCTGCACACCCCCTACTGGGGATGGAGCCCACAACCCAGGCATGTGCCCCTGGCCGGAATCGAACCCAGGACCCTTCAGTCTGCAGGTTGACACTCTATCTGAGCCAAACTGGTCAGGGCGAGGCCTAGTATTATTATTTTTTAATCTTTTTTTTTTTTTAATTTATTTCAGCGAGGAACAGAGCGGGAGAAACATCAATGATGAGAGAGAATCATGGATCAGCTGCCTCCTGCACGCTCCCTACTGGGGATGGAGCCCACAAACCAGGCATGTGCCCCTGGCAGGAATCGAACCCAGGATCCTTCAGTCTGCAGGCTGACACTCTATCCACTGAGCAAAACTGGACAGGGCGAGGCGTATTATTACTATTATTATTATTATTATTTTAATCTTTTTTTTAATTTTTATGGATTTTAGAAAGGAATGGAGAGGGAGAATCATGGGCCGGCTGCCTCCTGCACGCTCCCCACTGGGGATCGAGCCCACAACCCGGGCATGTGCCCTTGATCAGAGTCAAACCCCGGGACCCTTTAGTCCGCAGGCCGCAGCTCTATCCACTCAGCCACAACGGCTGGGGCTATTATTATTTATTTTAAATGTGTAGCTTCAGGACATTTTATTATAAAAAGCTGGTTCTCATATACGTAACTAATGAGAACTGAAAATTCATCACTTTTTAGCTTGACCTTCCAGTAAAGCTTTAGCTTCATTGATTTTGGGTGCTATATAAGGAGATCCGCCCCTGTCTGGGTGATTTAAAAGCATAAGTGGTCGATGCACATCTCTTCTTTGTCCTTTATTGGCGGTAGGGCTCTGTAATAGCCAAGGCTTTTGGCAGGTTTGGGGAGATTTAAAAAAAACACACTTGTTTGACCTCCGGCTCCATATGCTTCCTGGCTTGCAAAGCATAAACCTCTCTCCCATACTGATGTTCCTCTCTCTCCGTCTCCCTTCCTCTCTGAAATCAATAAAAAAAAAAATCTATGTAAAAAGAAAAGAAGTCAGTGGAAAGGAGGCCTCAGGGACAGGTTCAGGGGGGTGTGCCCTGGTTGCAAGGCTCCTGGGGTCCCTTAGGTGTAGGACAGGGATGGCGAACCTTTGGAGCTCGGCGTGTCAGCATTTTGAAAAACCCTAACTTAACTCTGGTGCCCCGTCACATAGAGAAACGTTTTGGTATCTGCAACCATAGTAAAACAAAGACTTATCTTTTTGATATTTATTTTATATATTTAAATGCCATTTAACAAAGAAAAATCAACCCAAGAAATGAGTCCGCGTGTCACCTCTGGCACGCGTGTCATAGGTTCGCCATCACGCGTGTCATAGGTTCGCCATCACTGGTGTAGGAGGTGCGTGCCTGTGGAGGCAGGAGGGGCGAGGCAGGCTCAGGTGTGCTCTGGGGAGGAGACAGCACACTGGGCCCTTTGTCTTGTGGCTTTTCTCTCTCTCTCTCTCTCTCTCTCTCTCTCTCTCTCTCTCTCTCTCTCTCTCGCAGGCAGGAATCTAAGGGGAGGTCGCAGGAGACGGTCTCAGCAATATATTCCCCAGTTTCCTAGTTGGGCTCCTTCAGCGGGGGGTCTCCACTGACCGGCCAGTGTCAGGTAGGGGTCCCGAGTCCCTGCAACGGGCCCTGACCCAATCGGCCACTTGGTTTTGCTGCTTTTCTGGGCCCGGAGCTGAAGTACCACTGAGACCTCTGGGTGTTGTCTCGAGGGAGGGGACCTTCTGCATCTGCTGTACGTTGCTCTGCCAGTTTGTTCAGCTCCCAGCCTCAGTCTCCCTATTCCACTGGCCCCTGGGTACTGGCCTGTCTCACTCCTAGCTGCCACGTGCTAACCATCTTCTGCCCAATTCATATGCATAGAGTAAGAAGCCTTTTTTGGATTTTGTAACCCTGTGCTCAGTTTGGGCCAGGAGGTGAAAGATAAGGTGGAGCCCGGCCAGCATGGCTCAGTGGTTGAGCGTTGACCTATGAGCCAGGAGGTCACGGTTTGATTCCCGGTCAGGGTGTGGGATGTGCAGGAGGCAGCCAATCATTGATTCTCTCTCATCATTGATGTTTCTATATCTCTCTCCCTCTCTTCCTCTCTGAAAGCAATAAAAACATGTATTTTTTAATTATTTTATTTTTTAAATATATTTTATTGATTTTTTACAGAGAGGAAGGGAGAGGGATAGAGAGCCAGAAACATCGATGAGAGAGAAACATCGATCAGTGGCCTCCCGAACACCCCCTACTGGGCATGTGCCCGCAACCAAGGGACACGCCCTTGGCCAGAATCGAACCTGGGACCCTTGAGTCCGCAGGCCAACACTCCATCCACTGAGCCAAACCGTTCAGGGCAAAAAATATGTATTTTTTTTTAAAAAAGAAAAGCCCTATCTGGTTTGGCTCAGTGGGTAGAGCATCGACCTGCGGACTGAAGGGTCCCGGGTTCAATTCCGGTCAAGGGCACATGCCCAGGTTGCAGGCTCGATCCCCAGTGGGGGTCGTGCAAGAGGCAGCTGATCAATGATTCTCTCTCATCATTGATGCTTCAATACCTCTCTCTCCTTCTCCCTGAAATCAATAAAAATATACTAATAAATAAATAAATAAAAAGTAAAGAAAGATGAGGTGAAATTTAGGCCGCCCTCATGTAGAAGCACAAAGAGTTATCTCTCCTCTGGTTCCCACAGATAACGATTCTCCTGCCTGTATCCTCAGTGCCGGTATCCAATCCATAGAACAACATTGCTCATCCACCTAGTATTTCCTACTCAGTATTCTAATATACAGCCCTGGCCGGTTTGGCTCAGTGGATAGAGTGTCTGCCTGTGGACTGAAAGGTCCCGGGTTCAATTCCAGTTGAGGGCATGTGGCCAGGGTTGCGGGCTCGATCCCCAGTAGGGGGCGTGCAGGAGGCAGATGATCCATGATTCTCTCTCATCATTGCTGTTTCTATCTCCCTCTCCTTCTCCCTTCCTCTCTGCAATCAATAAAAGTATATTTAATAAATAAATGATGGAATTCTTATATTATGTTTTAAAAAAAAATGAAAGACAAGTTCTGCGTAGGGGTGGGCCCACCTCGCCTAAAGGTGGGTCTAGAGCAGTGGTTCTCAACCTTGGCTGCACATGAGAATCACCTGGGAATCTTTTTTAAAATCCTGATTTCTGGCCGAAGCCGGTTTGGCTCAGTGGATAGAGCGTCGGCCTGTGGACTGAAGGGTCCCGGGTTCGATTCCGGTCAAGGGCATGTACCTTGGTTGCGGGCACGTCCCCAGTGGGGAGTGTGCAGGAGGCAGCTGGTCGATGTTTCTCTCTCATCGATGTTTCTAACTCTCTATCTCTCTCCTTTCCTCTCTGTAAAAACTCAATAAAATATATTTAAAAAAAAAAAAAAAATCCTGATTTCTGGGCCTCAACCTCCAGAAATTCTGTTTCTTTGTTACGAATGTTGTGGCCTCACCCCATCACAAAGAAACAGAATTTCCAGAGGCAGAGGCCCAGAAATCAGGATTTTAAAGATTCCTGGGTGATTCTAATGTGCAGCCAAGGTTGAGAAACGCTGGGCTAGAGGACTGGATACTGCGGGCAGGTTGTTGAATGAGCAGCCCAGGAAGACAGGTGCCTCCCCCTTAGACTTAATGACGCAGAGGGATCCTCACACGCTGCACGTGCAGGAGAAAACGAATGAACACTCAGGCCCCAGGGTACATACCTGCCCGCTTGGCAGAGGGGGACGAGGCAGTGTGCACCTGCCCAGGGACTGTGGCTAGACAAGGGCCCCAGGCAGCCCTCCTATCCCCGCGGGGGAGCGGGTGTGACCATAAGCTGCAGGTGCACCCCTGGACCCAGCCCTGGCGATGGATCCGGCGCCCTGCAGGAGGTGGACAGGGAAGTACCGGCCAGACGAGCCCTTCCCGGGAGCCCCTCGGGGAGATTGGTGGGAGAGGCTGTCAGGGACACAGCGTTGGGCATCCTTGAGTTTCACTATGAGGGCCGGAGGACTGGTGCTGTAACAGGCTGCAGTCTGTGTTGTGGGTGCGGGTTCTGTGTTCAGGGAGCTGGCAAACGGACCAGGGCACCCCTAGAAGACCGTCCAGCGTAAGGGGCGGAGTGCGGGAGCCCTAAGCAGAGTCCGCGGATGGTCAGGCCCCATGTGCCACACGCAGGTGCACAGGCGTGCCTTTCTGTCCCCCAAATGCTGCTGCCACTCCTTGGCAAGAGGGCTCTTTGCCTGAGTTGGTATAAGGATGTGTGACTGGCCCTAACCAGCGGTTCTCAACCTGTGGGTCTCGACCAATGAAAATACATCCTGCATATCAGATGTTTACATGACGATGCATAACAGTAGCAACATGACAGTGATGAAGTAGCAACGAGAATAATTGTATGGTTGGGGGTCACCACAGCATGAAGAACCGTATGAAAGGGTCGCAGCATGAGAAAGGTTGAGAACCGCTGCCGGTTTGGCTCAGTGGA